GTTAAATGTGTTGAAGATGGCGCTGCTCAAATAAAAGATGGCTAATTTGTATATCATTTTTCAGGTTCACACATGAAGGCGATTTATGCAGGGTGTCCGCAAAGTTGGGGTTTTCCTTTACACGACGTGTAGATCTTGAAAACATAAGCAATTTTTCTTAGTACCATGTACACCAATGTCTTAAGGGAACCGAGATAAAGGGCTCTGCAACATCAAAAATATCTGAATACCGTCCTATAGCCGCGACATCACCGACTGGTACAAGGTCACTGGCTCAACCCGACGACAGAACTGGATACGTTTACCTAAAAACTGAAAACGCGGCAACGCCGTCATATTTGTTACCTCTGTTCGTGGTCTGCACCACCCCCTGCGTCTGCTCGGTAGCGCATCAGCTGATTTCATTTTCTGTTGGAGCGGTATAATTTCGGGCAGAGACGTACTTAGCACTTCTCGTCAACTGGAGAGTGAGTACTTTTTCCTTTATTTTTTTTTTACTTGGTCGCCCTCGTTTCACTACATATTACCTTTGTTATTTCAAGGGTACTTATTTCTGAAAAGGAAAACCCCAACTTTGCGGACACCCTGTATTGTGTTTCTCAACATTTCCGTAATTCATAATGACTCTCAAAACTATGTCTCCATCCTATATGACAGCATCGAGCAGCAAAATCATGTAGTCGGGGCGGCAGCACCCCAAACGTGCACGTAACTAACAGCCCGCCTCGTAATTCAAGGAAATTTCTTTACACTGACAATAAATCCGAGGACTTCTTCCTGAATTGAGTTTAAAACCAAATTTCAAAAGAAATTTCTCCGTTTTAACTGAAGTTGTTCGGAAAATCGGCGCATGATCCGAAACAGCCGCCGGTAGTTCCCCTTTCGGCGTTTGCGTCATCAGATTCGTCGCCGGTGATTCCCCCAAGTGGATGTCACTGGTATGTGCGCGTGTATGCTTGTTTCAGTCAGCTTCATAATCGCTAAGCTGGAGCAGCGCAGAAATAAACGTAAACGCGTTGTTATTACCATAGGACAGAAACTTGTGGCAATCAGACGTTTAGATAGAGGTGATTCGCTTGAAAACGCGGCAAGTGATTTGGGTGTGTTCGTGAGTATCATTTCAGAATGGAAAAAACAACGCGAGAAAATTGAAATGAAATACATGTTTCATAATGTTTATTGAAGGCTCCGTAAGAAACGTATCTGAATGTTTGAAGTCGCTTTCTGATGGTTCAAACACTGGCCGCATGGTGGTACCTAAGTAGTTGCTCTTCACGCCTAGCTTTACAAACAGCGCCTAGTACTACCGACAGCGTAGCTTCTCTTTAAGCTAGAGATCGCAAACTAAAATCAAAATAAGCACGATATTTTGGTTTAATTTAAAAACAAATCCCATAGTACCTCCTTTTACAACACTTGTTCATCTGTGTATACCTTTGGCATTTTTATCGGAAACCAAAGTGTGTCACGGACATGTTAACTTTCCAGGAAAGCATAACGCCTTCTTGGATAGAGCGTGATTACAACTGGGTCAGTTTGCCGGTATGCTTCCTAGATACCAGTTGAAGCTAGTTTTTGCTGAGATGTTTACTTGGAAACATTTTCATCCCGCAGCGGATATGCAGTTACCGTGGAATAAACCAAGCTCGATAATCTAGTCAAATTGGTAAATGGTCGGATTCGTATTGATACCGCCAAAAATGTGTTATCAACATCATTTTCCAAGCAACGATAGCCAACGATCTAAAGCGTCAAATCAAAAACCATGGAATGCTTCATTGCTGTTAAAATAATCACGAAAAATGGATTTTATAAATAATATACGAGAAAAAATGACATATCCCACGAATGCGATATACGCCGAAACATTCTTGATATACGCTACCGCTCAAAAGTATTTGAAGACCCAGAAAATAAGGAAGTTATTGAAGAAACATTTATTTTCTTAATTCTTAACAACATACGTTTATGGTATATCTGAAGTCACTTGAAATAGCATAAAAACCTTTGGTCGGCGCGTCCTTTGTAATTTCATGACGTATCATAGGCGTGCGGTCATTTATTTAGAACGATAATAATAATGTTTTTATATCACAATAAATGGATTTTACTATCTTCTTATTTTTTTGATTTGGGATAAAAAATACTTATTATATTGGGAGTTTAATTTATGTTGACTGAAAGTTAAGAAATGGAAAAATTACAGAATTCCAACGTTTGACATAGGCAAATATTTACATAGCAGGTAAGTATATAAAAAGGTATATAAAGACTTACATTATAGGTATTTATATATCATCCTCGCCTTCGGATCTGAAAGCTAGAGTCATCTGGTAGAGGAATTACAACGGGATCTACAGGAGGCAAAACACAATATTCATTTTCTTTTTCAATAATATGCCTAGAACACTGCTTCCATAGGTCTGTGGCAGCAATATGAGATACTGCATCTCTTATTGTGGCCAATAGCGATTCACTTAATTGAGGGGTCTGATTATGTTTTCTTACTTTTTTTTAAAGCAGCCCAGACCAACTCAATCGGGTTAAAAACTCAGTAATAGGGAGGTAGACGTAATACTTCATGGCCATTTTGCTGAAGCAGATTGTCAACAACATACTCTTTTTCAAATTTTTGTCTTTTAATAAGATCCAATAATATGGCTTTGGTTGATTCTTGTGGTATTTCCATTCCCTTATCCTTCATAAAATCAATAATGTCTTGTTTTTTTGTGCCTGTATTCGGAATTTTGTTTTTCTGTCGGGAATGGTATGGCGCATTGTCCATAATAATCACTGAATTTGGGGAAATGTTTGGTATTAACTGCTGCTCTATCCATTTTTCAAATAAGTCGGAGGTCATGTCCTCATGATAGTCGGCACATGATTCTTTGATATTTTTGGCAGATAACAGCAAGGCATCAGGTATAAATCCATTTTCACTGCCAGCATGGAGAATAATGATTCGTTTTCCACGGTTGCAAGGTGCATTTAAAATGCACTTGTTGCTGTCGTCAACCCAGCCGTACTGCACAACATCATGGGTATCATACCATGTTTCATCCAGGTAAATCAGATTTCTTTTCTGCTCTCTATAGATTTTAACTTTGTGCAAAAATTCTTGGCGCAATTCAACGATTCGAGACGACTCCATAATCACCATTCTTTTATATAATTTTTTGTATTGAAAACCACACAGTTTTACAATACAATGCAGTGAGTCTAAGCATTTGTAATTATAAAAATCTTCAGGATAATCTTTTAATTTATCCCATATCATTTCCAACGTGGGCACCAAATTTTCTTTATAAAATCCGTATATTATACGACGAATATCTTCCTGAAAACCCACGTCTATTCTTTTTAATTTTTGCCCTATGCGCTTTCTGTGGAAGGAATGGTTGACTACATCTCCCCTTTTTATAACCCGATAAATGGTAGACCGACTGATTTTTGTCAGGATACAAATTTTGTTTAAAATTTGATTTTGCGAGGAATCTGGATTTTCGTTTTTCAAACAATCATACATATTTAGGATTACTCTTCGGGTCTGTTCCTCTAAATCTTTATGAAAGAATTCTGCCTGCACAGGTTCATCAACCATCTCCTCGTGGCTTGGAGCATTTTCCCAAGGTCTCCAAAGAGCCATATTTAGGACACACAAGAACAATCAACACAACAATTAAATGAACAAGTAAACTGAGTATTCAAAAGTCAAAAACACACAAACTAATAAAATCTATGAAAAAACACGGACAGACTAAAGACAACACGTTTATTCACCGCTACACGGCACTGGCTAAACTGTTTCAATTTTCAGTAGCCACCTGCACTTTTTCGGAGCTCTGAAATACACGCTTTCTCATTGGCTATGTCCACGCATAGGCGTGCTTTACTCCACGTGGACCGGTGAAACTACCTTTGATCTTATACGGGGGATATTTGCTGCGAAATTTGGCGATTTTTGCAGCAACAGAGCGTGTTAAATATAGATATATAAAACGCACCCTGTATTTCACAGTGTTTCAAGTGACTTCAGATAAACTAGCTTTGTTTGTTATGATTTTAAATGGAATTATGCAGGTGTTCAAATACTTGTAATGGTAGCGTACGAAAAATCTACCATGTCACAAAAAAAATATCGTTATTGCATACATCGAAAAATTTAATCTGTATGACAGATGCACTTTATCTTGCACCCCCTCAATCTAACATCAATATCAGTATCAAGGTTTAAAACCAAAATAAAGAAACGGTACACAGTGGAAGATCGTTTTTCGATAAATTAGTGAATAATATTTTATAGACCGTGTAGTGCAGTGTACAAGTATAGGCCCTATATGGACTCAAGAAAGTATTATTATCATTGCAAACAATTAACCCCCATATAGACAAACCACTGATTTTGACAATTATCCCGATTTCATTTTCGGGACGTTTAATTTCACGATTTGGCGATGTCAGCTGGCCACCAAGGTCACCGGATTTAACCGCTCCTGACTTTTTTTAATGGGAATTTTTGCAAAGTAGGTTTTCTGCCAACAAAACAAATACTGTAGAGCAGATGAAGAACAATTTACGGATACGATTGAAAACATTCATCCCGAAACCTACCAAAAAGTGATGTAAAATGTAAATCTTTAATTAATAATTTCTAAGTAAAAATGGACGTATAGTCAACGCCAAACAAAGTGGCGTGCACGTCGTCAAGGTGGGTGTGTTGAAAAATTTACATTGTTGCCAAACTTTTTGTAAAATAATAAAATTTATTATTTACATATCTAGGTTTATAAGCAATATTAACCTCAAATGAGAACAAAAATAATAGTATAATAAAATTATAGATCTGTACTTGCATAATCATTAAGTATGACAATTATTGATAAGATGACACTATGAAACTACCATATTTAATTGATAGCTTAAAGGTACTGAATAAAAATCCAAATGGGGTCCTCCAAATTTTATGCATGATATTTATTTTACAGAATTCATACAGAAAAATGCATTCTAAAATTAGGTAAGCTACTGGTGTAAGCTTTTTCTGTACAATAAAGTTAGTCGGAGTTTCTTTCTTCAGCGCTGCCTGAATCTGAATCTTCATCACTCTCAAAGTTGATTATTAAAGGTTCGATGTCTGGTCGATCAAAAATTCGTTCTCTTTCATACCATTTAAAAATTTCTTGCTCAGTATGTCGAACACTATTTTTCCACATGTCTGGGGTAACCGTTTGTAGAGCCTCGTTTCACATATCCAAACAGTCTTTTTCACGGTTACCATCTCTACCAATATGTCTGTTATAGTAACCTTTTGCTATGCCCCAAATTAACTCAATAGGGTTAAATATACAATGGTAAGGAGGCAGACGAAGAACTTTGTGCCCATGTTGTTCCGCCAATTCATCAATCACGTATATTTTAGGTGGTTTGTTTCTAAAAAAGCAGTTATTTTAAGAATAGGAATAAACAAAAGAAATATAAACTGTCGACCAAAATATATATAATTAAGAAGCATTATGTACCGAGCAACAATACTCAATAGCTCTGTTTTAAACATTGTGTTTAAAAATGGTATGTTTTGATTTGTCAACCAGTCTTGGATATTTTTTTTTGTCCATGCATTGTTGGGCACTTTGTTCAATATCATGCTGTGATAAGGGGCGTTATCCAGTATAATCATAGATGGACTCTCCAATTTTTCTAATAACTGATGTTGAAACCATTTCAAAAAATTGTCCTGGTTCATCTCTCCATGGTAATCGCTCAATTTTGTTTTCGAAGAAAATATCGCTTCACTACCCTCAATAAACCCATTTTCATTTCCAGCATGTAATATAATGTATCTAAAATATATTAGTTTTAAATTTTATAGTGCAAATTGTGTAAAAGTACATACCTTTTACCATCTGTTTTAATAGCTTTCACGCTTTTTTGGTTTCCATTTTGCCAAGAGCGACCTATGGTCCCATTTTGAAATATCCAAGTTTCATCGAGGAAGACAAACTGGTATAAGGCCTCAACCTTGGCTTGATTGTATTGCCTTAGAAATTCCACCCTTTTCAAAGCTATACTTGGTAGTTCCATGAGCCCTCGTCGCGGATTGTCCTTAAGCCACTTAAATCCAAGATCTCTAAGCAACCGCCTTAAAGACGTGGCACTACCATCAAATAATGCCCTATCTTTTAATCGAGACCATAAAGTTTGTATCGTAACTTGTTCTTCTGAAACCATGTGTAATATGACATTATAATTTAGTTAACAAATTAATGCAAATTTCTGATAAGTTATTATAAGATCTTACTTTTGTGATACATATTATAGATCACTTCTCGAATGGCACTTGTATCCAATGTCGCTGTGTTGGTTACACGTTTAATATAACTCCGCTTTTTCTTGGGCGATTCTAAATTTGCATCACTTTTCACACCCTCGGAAATACGACTAACTGTCCTTAAACTAATTTTTAAAGCAGCAGCAACACGCTACAAAAAATGAAATAAAATTTCACTATTATTAATATACGTATACATTACATATAATTATTAGTAACCTACCTCTTGAACAGCATTTAAAGGCAACAAAGGCCCGTTGTTGTCCCTTTCTTGCTCAAAGTAGTGCATTAACGAGGCCACGAGTTCCTTACACCGACTATTTAACTGTTTGGGCATCTTTATATACCAAAATTGCCTTTATCTACTCGTAAAATGAATAATTTTGTTTTGAAACAAACAGTTGTTGATTTACAGTATGCGGGGCCAAAGGATTTATAAAGATTTGAAATGCCACAAATTGATTCAGTGTCAAAATTAATACAAATGTCAGTTCCCAGTTTAAATAAGTTTCAAGGTGACAATGTGTCAACGCTGCGAAATCGGTTTGGTGCGTTTACATGTCGATAAGTGATTGGAGCGTTTGCAAAACATTTTATTTCGCATAATGCGTCTAAATTTATCAGAAAGCAACTTATGTGATATTTTAATAACAATGTTTATATGACTATTAACCATAATAAGAGAGTAATGACCATTTTACAATTTATATATCACATTAATATGAAACTGCAATAGAGCAATTGTTTGTGATAGAAACCTAGGCATTAGGTCGGGGAATTTTTATCGTGATGACGTGCACGCCACTTTGTTTGGCGTTGACTATATGTTATTTCATTTCACAAATATTCAAGATACAAACCAGTCAGTTACATATCGGCCACCTTGTAGTAAGCAAAAGCTTCCTAAATATATATTCAGCGCTTTTATACCTAAACTCGCCAGACTGTCGTCCCACTGAAAAGACCAGAACCTGCAGTCTGCAATGTGCAGCAGACTCGTTGACCTATATAAATCGCCATGCTTTTTTACCTAGCTTTGCGGTAAAACTAGCTATTCCAACCTTTTACGGGCAGTGATGGCTCTCGGCTAGCAGGCACTTGTTAACTTAAGGTGTTAGGTGCGTCCGGTACCGTACACTGTAATACTTATATTTTCTTGGGATTTATAGCTATTGGAATTATGTAAAACCAAGCGTTCAATTTATAACGTCTAAATTGATTGTTACGTTACTAGATCGACATGTTGCAACATTGAGCGAGTTGTATCGTACTGACGATTCCCAATACGAACGAAATGGTGCTACCAGCATGTATTGGAATCAATCTTGAATAATATACTACGCTGTTTCAGTTACCAGTATCTCATTTAATGCCTTAAAAAATATAAAACTAAATTTCGCACAAATAAAAGTAATGTGTCTGATGCAGTTTACAGATTACGAATAGCCGCATTCTTGGTAAAAAATCACCATCATGTGTGGACTATATTTTCCAAGTTTCCTAACGGTTTTCACTCGTCATGCCATGCTTTATTGGTTTATTAATATTGACCGACATTTCTGCTTGTCCCGAGGCTGGATCGAGCATGGATAATGCAGCCTGGGCGGCAGCACTCCGCACGTGTGAGCAGTAATCGACGCTGTGGATCGGATTGATCGCACAGACTAGCATGACTCCGTTTGTTTGACATTGCAAGCAAGGTTCACGCTTCGTGAAAACGTAGCGTTAGCATTCCTTATACTTTCTCGCCGTTGCAAGTAAAAGAGAGATTAGAGTTTGCATAATAACGATAAGCAAAACCCCGATGGCGTGCAAAATGGAAAACGTACCACCGTCTAATAATAATCTCGCAATGTGGAACGTTCTGTTGTTGCATGTCGGTTTGTAGTTTAGTAGGAGAAACAAGGAGCAGACGTTCGTCGAGTCGGATCGATCGGTGGTGAATCGGGGTACGCCATGACCCGCTCTCGCCACTTCGGCCTGTCTGTTTGTCCGTTTCTGACGGTGACTCGATCGCGATGTATTATACAACACCTGCCCGGTCACGCGGGTTACGAGCTGTATCATTTGAATTCCAACGCGAGTCGACGTGGTCAGATTACAATTCGTTATTTCAAACTACGATTTCTTAGCAAATGTCAAAAAAATCTAACGTAATGTCAACTTGTTCACTAGGTCAAAGGAGGTATTATTATGCTACTCAAATACTCAAATTGGCATTCAGTAGGAAAAATATAATAAGAAATCTAACGTAATGTCACAAAATTCCTACGGAGAGCCAATTCTTTTTTATCTAGTGTCACTTGGCAAACTTATAGCGAACTTAGACTATCGCGACAGCTGGCAACCCACAAAGCATGCTGGCGAAATGAGGGTTGCATATATTTAGGTAAAAACCGTTACGCTGCTTCCCGATAGATGGCGCTCTGGTATGATCGGATCAGCTTGGTTCCTCGTGCAAATTTTGCGACCCTAATTGCCAGACTCAATGAAAAAATATCTCGTTGCAAGAAAAATCGTCACAGCCTCGACTCAAGATAATAGCTTAGACTACGACGCAGATGGATTTCATATTTTTCCTCCTGGCGTATGCTGAACCATAATTAGGAATAGTTTAACGGGTTTTATAGTACCAACACGACTGTACGATGGTATTACAAGACGGATTACTGGCGCTATCTCACTCCTTTTCTCATCTATCGCAAGCAATATTACTTAGTCGTTATGTCTGTAAATTACACCCACGTACACTGCAAGACGGTATGTTATTAAGCAGAATCTGTACTGTAGTGCAATACAGAGTAATTTAGTAGATTTGGAGTGGATTTCACCGACACTAATATTCAACGGTCACTTGAACCAGTAGGAACAGACATTTTACTCAAAAAGTAGAGATGATTAACATAGTCAAAAATTATTTATCTTGTTTAATTCCTTCCTGACTTGAAATGTAGCCATGATCATTAGCATTTTGCTTGTAGTGTTTTTTTTTATATACGATGCAACTTTTCTAAACAAAAGAGCAAGTACAAAATGTATCTGTATTGTATAAAAAATCGCAACAAAATACGGATCTGTCTACCTGTCGTTGACGGATCCCAAAGAATTATGCGTCACTTGTCGATATGGGAAATACCGTAGTTTATAGTTTTAATGCAAATGATGACATAGGCTCCTATATGCAAAGAAGTGTAGACACTGTGGTTAGGTGTTGTCAGGCATGGCTTCGAGAAGGCCGTACGCAAAGAGCAAGGGGCACTGGACGCCGCCGTAGAACAACAGACCGTGAAGATTGCCGCCTAAGATTATTGGCCTTAAGGGACCGTTTCTCCACTACCAGGTCCATTGCAAATGAATGGTTTGCAGAACACGGAGGACCTATTGGCATGCGAAGTGTTTACCGACGAATGAGAAGTTTTGGTTTGTTTTCATATCGGCCACACTGGGTCCTCCCTTTAACTCGAGAACACCGACGTAATCGCCTTGAGTGGTGCAGACAACGGTCACTCTAGGATCAGGAATGGAACAGTATGGTCTTTAGTGACGAGTCTCGATTTTGTTTAGGCATGCACGATGGTCGTGCCAGGGTTAGAAGGCGACGTGGTGAAAGGAGGAATCCACAGTTTTTTGTTGAAAGACATGTTCATCACACTGTTGGAGTTATGGTTTGGGGTGCTACAGCTTACGGT